CCCCAAAACCCCAAAACCCCAAAACCCCAATCATGCAATTAAATATTGAAAATGGCAATTACCTAAATAAACTATAATGGATATAGGAAAAAATTTAGACCAAAATTGTGTTTAATACAAAATTATTGGAACGTGGACTGCTCATTACTAGACCTTCTATCATTAAACAACCTATATAAAGTTAAAGTTTAAGACTTGCTTTTTGGAGATTGCTTCCACAAAACTTGGAATTTGAACTTTGAGTGATCTCTAAAGATTATAAAATCTTATACCTCTAGTCTATTGCTGGGGCAATTCTTTGAGTAAGTATGATAATCAAAACTTATCATTGAAGAATCTGGAGATGGAGGTTCCTCCAAAACCTGAGCCTCTTTATCAGCATTCAGTGGCTGACTATCTACCTTCTCTATAGGAGCTACATTACTCTTTAAAGTATGAAGCTTTATATTAGATGCTTTAATCATAAACTATGGTTATTAATATGGATAATTACATTATGATTCCCATAATCCTTGCTCATCGCAGTATGAGACTTCTTAAAAGTCTGAATATCATCAAGAGGGCTTTGAATTCTTTTTCTAGGATGAGTTCTTACTAAAAAGATGAACCATGAGCACATACCTTTTCCCTCTTTATTTCAACCCCCTCTTACAGCTTTTAGACTTTTTCTGTATTTGAGGAATGTTTGGAAGCTGTAAGAAATATTTCGGATCCATTTTTGGAAGGTCAGTGGCCTCGTCATTATTTTCTACGGTTGAGATGCGAAATATACCATTGAGTTTATTAGTATTGCTGTTGAAGGATTTGAAAATAAGTCAGCTCATATCTGAGCTGTCAGAGTTTATATCTGGGACTGTCTTTTTACTTCAAGCGTCCCTTTGACTTGACTTAGTTTTGATGAATTTAGTTATAATAATAAGGACTCTCCTTTTTCCTCTTTATATAAGGGCTATTTTTTTGGAAAGTAATGCTTTTATGCTTGCGATGTTTAGGATCCTCGTAAAGATGTTTTGAAAATAATTCTTCTGAGTCTAAGCATAGATCAAATCAATAAGAATACCCTTATCCATGGTCTGTATGAGCTCATAGTTCTTCTCTTGGATTTTGAGCGAAATTGGCATGGTTATCTTTGTGACTAAAGTAGTTAGCATTAACATTAATTTATCCGTTATAATTTACTTACTCTGGCCGCATAATTGGGGAATCTTTTGCAGATAATCCAAATTATTTAGAATTAGTGAGGTCCTTTTTCATGTTTCCATGCTTTTGCTATACAGGTGAGTAATCCCACAACACGTACAAAGACTGTTTTAGGAGTCTCTTCTATTTCTTGGAATTTAGGTGATAAGTTATAAGGAAACCTGCTGTTCAGAGCTAGGTATTTCATGCTAGTAGATTTGCTTTTTTTCATTTTTGGGATTTTATCCAACTCTATTTATCAGTAAATCGATTAAATCGATCAAGTATTTTTGAGGATTTGGTAAATTGTATATCAAGAATTTGTCAAAAAAGAGAAGAATTTAATTTTTTTCTCTCCAAAAGTTAGCAATATTACCTCCAGTGCTCTTCTTATCTAATTTCCTATTCTTAAAGGGACTAAGAACATTCTTCGGGTTAAGTTCTATAATTTATATACAAGTTTAAGATACTTTTCCTATGATTAGTATTGTCTCCATTAATTCCTTGGAACCTATTCACATTGATTATTATCAGAGCCTAAGAGGACTTGATAGTATTACCTCAATTTAAGTCTTGAGTCAGAAGGATGAAACTTTGGTGTCTGCGAACTCTTCATACTAACTAGATGCACATGATTCAGCATATGGAGTTTCTTAGTTTTTATCTGATTCTGAACCCTTGATTCCCATCCGCTCTTACGTTTATCTCTTTGACCTAATTTTAACATGTTTTGTGGGCTAAATATATCAAGAGGAGGTATACTCTAGGTCAAGAAGTATTTTCTTAAAATCTGCCATTTTCGTACTGAGAATAATAAATTATCTATGAATTATTTCAATACTTTATCAAAGTTTTGGGGTTTTGGGGTTTTGGGGTTTTGGGG